CCAGCGCGGCGCCGACGGCGGCGCCGGCCAGGCCGGGCTTGGCGGGCGACAGCGGCGACCCCACCACCTTGCCCTTGGGCGACCCCGGCGGCGAAGTGGTGGTGAGGCGGGCGGGGAGCGCCGCGGGGGGCAGGTCGGGGGGGATGGGCAGCACGGAGTCTCCCGCGCCGGGGGGGCCGCCGCCGCCGCGTCCGTCGCCGCGGCCCGGCCGCCCCGGCTCATCGCGCTCCTCGCCGCAGTCGCCGCCGCCGCGGTCGCCGCCGCGGTCGCGGTCGTCGCCGCCTCCCTCGCTGTCGGAGCTGGAGGCGGAGTCCAGCAGGCCGGGGTCTGCATCCTCGTGCCCCGCCGTCTCCAGCAGCAGCGACACATGGGTGATCAGCGGCTCCAGGCAGCGCGGCAGGTCCACGCGCAGCGCGGCGCCCAGCACGCCCAGCGCCGCGGCCTGGCGCGCGCCCGGCGCCGCGTCGGCGCGCGCACCCAGCAGCAGGGCGCCGGCGGGGGAGGGGGGCTGGGAGGGCGGCGGGCACGAGGCCGGGAAGGGGACCGCGAGGACAAAGGGGTCGGCCACATCCACCACTGGCAAGCCGGCCCTGGGAGGGGGGGGCAGAGGCTTGCTTTCGGCAGGGGTGGGCGAGGAAGGGCGCGAGGGTTGCGCCAAGCACCCTTTGGTGGATGAAGGGGCGGCATGCCGCGGTACGGTGCCAGGCACGGGCCCAAGCAGGTCGGCGGCCCCTAAGGTACACCACAGCACCCATGCCCGCCAAGGCTACCCCTCACCCCCCCTCACCCCCGATCGATAGATGCTCACTTTCTACTGACGAGTATGGGGCGACGTTGCTGGATGGCCATCCATGCCAGTGTTTCGTCGGGGCTGTACAGCCCGAGCTGGGGCAGGCCAGGCTGCAAAAAGTTGCCGTAGGTGACTAGTACAGGGGAGTCGTCCCCGCGCGGCTGCATGAGCAGCGCGATACTGGAGGGGAGGGAAAAGGAATTAGATGAGGCTCGGCATGAAGGTCAGGCCAGCCGAACGAGCGGGTGTCGCATGGAACCCCGGCGCAGGATAGAGTGCCACCCACAAGGTAGTCACTCCCGACACTGCTTAAGCAGCGAAGATCCATACTGACCGGAGGGACAGGGCTTCGGGCAGGGCTTTGATGACTTCATCTCTTGTACTCGCAAGGATCTCGTTCTGTGTAAAGCAGGTGCACAGCGCCGCGGCCAGGAGACTCGGGGAGGACCCCACCTGGGGCTCCGTTCTCACCATGGGCGGTCTGGGAGGAGTGTGCTCCTCTCTTACTTACATTAGAAGTGTCTTTAACACACCACCCACTTGGGATTGGGCGCAGGTGCTGCCCCCTGGCCCCGTCTGTGACTCATGAAGGGTACAGGGGCTCGCGAGACAAGGAGGACTCGTATGTGAACACATGATTTGTCCCCGGCTCCTCCACCGAGCTGTGCTGTGGAGTCTGGGCGGCGATTTGGCCCTCCTGCTACGACACCTTCGGCCCTTTGGACTGGAGGTATACCGGGGTGAGAAGAGCCAATATGCCGTTCACACGCTACGTTGAGATTGGGCGCGTGGCCCTCATCAACTACGGCCCGGAGTATGGCAAGCTGGTGGTCATCAGCGACGTGGTAGACCAGAACAGGGTGCGTTGGGGGACAGGATGCAGGAGAAGGGAGTGGGCATATTGGCGCGGGTTAAGGGGTGCTCAGGAGCTGGACTGCGGTGTGGAGAGGCGCGTGGCTGGCTCATGGCCGGAGCATGGGCGTGTGCCTTGGACCCCTGCGGACAGGACTGGATCGCCGAGGCCAGACTTTTACCTCTCCAAGCAGAATAGCTAGGAATTACGGCTTCTTGTGGCTCACAATGTGGCATTCTGGGCCTCCCGAGGTCATGGTGCCGGTGCGGTGGTGGCTGCGCCCCCGACCCCCTTCCCCCCCCCCCCACCCGACACAGGCACTGGTCGACCGGCCGGACGAGATCCGCCGCGTCGTCAACTTCAAGCGCCTGGTGCTGACCGACTTCAAGATCGACATCCCCCGCCTGGCCAAGAAGTCCGTGCTGACCAAGGCCCTGGAGGAGGCCGATGTCTTTGCCAAGTTCAGCAACAGCAGCTGGGGCAGGAAGATTGCCAAGCGCGAGGCCAAGGCCAACCTGACCGACTTCGAGCGCCACACCGCGCTGGTCGCAAAGGTGACCCGCAGCAAGAAGGTGAGCGCGGCGGCAGGTGGCAGGGGATGGCGTGGGTGGGCCAGGGCAGTATGCCAAGGCCTGGCTTGTGGCGTCAGATTGATCGAGGGAATGATCCACACCAGGGAGGTCTGCTGGGGTCTGTTGAATGAATCTATCAACAGTTGACAGCTGTGAGGGCAGTTGGAAGGTTCGTTTTTGTGCCTGTCCTCCCCCCTGTCCGCCGTTGTGGGTGTCCACACCACCTCTGCATGGAGTGGCTGTGGCACACCGACGGTCAATTCAGTATGCTCCAGGCCCACACCACCGATGCTCACCCGTTCCCTTGTTCCCCTTCCATCACAGGTGCGCACCGCCTTTAACGCCCTGAAGAAGGCTGCCAAGAACTGAGCCTGTGGCTGTGCTCCTCCCCCCGCCGCCCCCTTCTCTGTAAAGCCTGTCCAGTCTCCGCCACTGCTCGAGGTCCAGGCAGGGTCTGTACACGCTCTGGTGTGCTGTGGGCGCAGGGTGTTCTCACGGGCTGTCGCATCACTCATTCCTGCTCACAGCCTGGCGTGCCCTGGGCAGCTGTATGGAGCATGGGGTGTGGGTCGGTGCAGGTTCTCCACCAACCCCCACACCCTCGCCCCTGTCACGGCTGGGGCGAAGAGACACGCCCCTCTCCCCTCGGACGTCACTCAGCGTCGTGCAGGCGCGTGGGCCCCTGGCCCAGGAGGGAGTCCCCCAGGACCCACCCCTGCGCCTCCGCCTGCCGCTGGAAGTCAGGGAAGGCGGCCTGCATGGCCCGCAGGCCGGCGGCCTCGCCCTCCCCCGGGTGCGCCTCCAGCCAGGCCGCCTGCCACAGCGCGCGCAGCGCGTCGTGCGCCCCTGCGCGCTGCCTGAGCACCACCCAGCACCGCCCCGAGTGACGGGTGAGCAGGTAGGCCTCTGCCGAGTAGGTCGCGCAGAGGGCCGCCAGGTCGCGCCCGGCCCCCGCCGCGAGCGCCTCGCCCAGCGTGCAGCCCAGCGCGACGTCGCCCGGCGGCAGCGCCAGCGCGCTCTCCCCTCGATTCACCTCGCGGATGGCGGGCACACGCCCCTCGCAAATGTGCGCGGCGACCAGCGCTGCGGCGCGCTTCCTGTTGGGCCAAGGGAAGGCCAGGCGGGAGAGGGCCGCGGCGCGCAGCGTGACGTGCGCAGCCTGGATGCCGACCCAGGCCAGCACGACACCGGGCGTGGCGTGCGCGCTTTCCAGGGCGCGCAGCAGGGCCACGCTGGCGCCCAGGCCCACCAGCTGGGCGCCCACGCCCCAGACCTCCTCCCGCGCGGACACGTCGCCCACGTTGTTCTTGGCCGCGAAGTGGGTCTGATGGAGGGCGAGGGGGGGCGGGGGTGGGGCATGGGTGACGAGGGGTCGGAGGAAGAAGGTGTGGGGTGACAAGCTGGGGCGACAAGGCCAGGGAGAGTGTGCGAGGAAAAGGGGGGCCCGATCGGGCACAGGGAGAACGGGCACCAAGACGCGTGCCAGGGTCCCCCGGCTCACCCGCCAACCTCCCTCGCCTGTATCACGCGGAAGCAGGGGTGGCCCAGGCCATGGCCCACGGCCGTCGCCAGGTTGCCACCGCCAGCCAGCAGCACAAAGTGGCCTGTGGAGTTGGGGGGAATTAGGGGGAGACGGGGCTGCAGCATCTCGCCCAGCAGTGACTCGAGGGGGCGGAATGAGGGACGGCAGGGCCCCCCCTGGTTCTCTTCACGCCGCGTGTTGCCCCTCCAGCAACCCCCCCCCTTTGGGCTCGTGTCACCCTGCCAAATGGTGCACACCCTCACTCCCCACCCACCAGGGTAGGCCTGGGTCGCAATCTCCAGGGCCAGGCCCAGCGTGGTCACAGCCTCGGCCGCCAGGCGCCACCGCCGCGGGTCCTCGTCGAACACGGAGGCGAAGCGGGCGCTGACGGCGAAGCGGCCCAGCGCCCCGATGCCGTCCTTGCTGATCCACTTTATTGCGGCGGAGGCCCCCGCGGCGCCCCCGGGCCCCGCATCGATGCCCACGGCCTGTGGGCTTAGTGGAACGGTGGTCAGCGTTGAGAGAGGGAAGGGGTGGAGGTGGTCACCCCTGCAAAGAAAACTGGGCACTCAGGCGCCCAAGTGGACTGAGCGCACGGTGCACTAGGGCAGCGGGGCACCACCCGCATGGCTCCCGACCTGGAGCATGCTGGTGGTGGCCAGGGCATGTGACATGACGCCCGTCACATGCGTGGGCAGGGTCCACAGCTGGTACTCCAGGTAGTCGGGGGTGACGCTGTCTGGCCAGTCCTTGGGAAGGAAGAGACCCGCGAGGAAGGAGCGGGCCGGGCCGAGGGGCCCCGCCGACTCCCCTGACCATGCCTCCTTCTGGCCGGTGCCCAGGCCCGGCTCGCCCACCTCCCTCACCTCCCCATCCTCGCCCACGCCCAGGCGCTGAATGCGCTGGGGGCCCACCTCAATGAAGCTGAGGGTGCTGGGAGCAGATTGGGGGGTGGGAGGGGAGGAGGTGGCACCGGCGCGGAGGGAGGGGAACCGCAGCTTGTGCCCATGCACCGCCGTGGGCCCCTCAGGCCGGAGATCATGCCCGGCGAATGCCCGCCTCGAGGGGGGTCCGGTCTGCATGAGACTAAATATTGTGCATTGTGAAAGGCGTGGAGGCCTGAGTCGACATCAATCTGCCCGCAAGATGTCATGCATGAGAATGTATCGGAGAATCGGGCATGAGGCTCCATTTTACAGTGTGCCTGCGTGCTCAGATTCCCAGCATCTGCCCCATCAGAATCTTTCTCAGCCCGCTCAGTGACAACGAGTTATCTTCATGAGGCGGGCCAGACCACACATCTGCATTCCCAGACGTACCCTCTGTTCAAAATAACACTGGCGCTGTCATTTTGCCCGGTGAGAACCCCCTGCTCCTCAACAACCACTGCCAGGGTGCAGCCCATGCTGCATGGGGTCATCCTGCATCAGGCATTTCTAGAGCCTCTTCAAGCCGTCCGCTTGGTCGTTTAATGTTTGAAAGGTAGCAGAGCCGATACATAGAGACTTTCGGAGGGACTGTCAACATGCAAATTGCAATGATTCACCGCCTGGCGGCAGCATAACCAGGCCCCATTGCCGCAACCCTCGCTGCCACTGCCGCCGCCCGCGCCTGCGCCGCCGCCAGGGCTTCCTCTGTCGACGGCCTGGAGGCACCCAGGTTGGGTTGACTCGCGCTCTTCACAAAGTCTATGCGGCCCGTGGCCTGCCGCTGAGCCGCCCTTCGCTGCTCCTCAGCTGCTGCGGCGGCCCGTTGGACTTCGAGGTAGTCGTCGGGGTGCAGGGCTGACGGGTCCAGGACCTGCATGGGAAGAGGGGCACTTCGTGAGGCTTTGGACATGCAGCCTGATTGGTGTCAGGATGGGTGTGCATCCTACACAGTGGACACAGCGTGGCCCACGAGCCTGGTCTACACTTATGCACCATCTGCAAAAGCGTCCGCATATGCTCTCCCCTTGCCCTTCCCCTGTCCCTTCCTGAAGAAGCAATAATGACATGGACAGTGGCCAAGCATCGTCAGCCCTTCACACCTCTGGTGCAAAGCAGGTGCCATACTGCTGGATGTCATAGTGCTCGATCATCTTGCGGAAAAACTCAGGATTGCGGTAGCCCCTGCACAGTGCTTACGACCAGCGTAATCGTCAAGGGTGCCACACATATGGTGGACGATTCGCACTGTAGAGCTGCACCCCCCTCGTCATACATACATGCGGGGTCAAGGCTTTGCACGCTCAGATGAGGAGCTTCCCCTCATGAAGCCGCACATGCCACCTCATCTCAAACACCTGCTTTTCCGAATCTCTTCAGTCACGCTCCGCCCCTGAGTTTCCTGGATGTGGATCCAGGTGGCAATCTTCCTCTGCAGCTCGACGCTCGGCTCGCCTGGAGGGGCGGCCCGCATCTCCGGGGGAAGGCTGCTGCTCAGGCCTTCGGGTAATATGGGATCAGGGCCAGATGCAGCGCCATCACTCCTCTCAGCCGCTCTGCCCTGAGCCATGTAGGTTTCTGGGGGCTCTTCGCCCTCCTCGGTCTCCATCGGATCGTTGGAGGATTGGGTGCGCTCCTGTGGGGTTGCTTGGTGCCCGCCTCCTGCACGCGCGCCGTCCACTGAGCTCCCTGGGGGATGGCACGGTGTGTGCAGGGACTCTGAAGGTCCATGACCATGGGGCCTCCAACACCGGCTCCAGGGAGCAATGCCTACCAAACCTTGCCACCATGGCACCAGCACACTGCATTGCACGTCAGGAACAACCAGACTTACCGTGGGATGGGGACCGACTATCCTCATCGCTGTCTGCGTAGGCACCAAGGAGTCCACCTAGCTCCGACATCCTCGCGCGTCCGAGAGAAAAGTCGAAGCGGGCACTGGTGCGAGGACAGAACAGGAAAGGGAGTGGTTGTCTCTACTTCTTACTAGACGTGTCTGTGCCTGCAGCCAAGGCTCTGCAGAAGGATCTGCGTCAAGGCGCGAGCTCTGAGTTTGCGCGCCCTGAGAGGAGCCCGGGCACACACATATCAAGATGCGCTTCGTGAAGACGAGCTTGCGCTAACGACCTCGCAAAATAGTCTTGAGTCTCACGTTACAATGAATCTGTTATGAGTCGTGGCAAACGGGAGAGGTTGGATCTTGGACGAGGTCGAGGCGCCAGTTCCCCAGGTACAGGTCCTCCTCAGTTTTTGGTTCAGTTTTTGATTCGCACGCATGCGGATGAGAGAACTTTCTCACTCATTCTGCAGCTCCAGATGTCTCCGATGATAATCCTCTGGCCTCGGCAATGGCGGGGTACGCTTCGGAGGAGGAGGAAGCGCCATGCAACCTAGACGCTGAGGTCGCCCAGTTTGTCACCAAGCTGCATGCTGACGGCCTTCTGCCGGCCGGTGAGCTTCCATCTGGACTCCTACCGCTGGGGGACCAAGGCTACACTGCATCGGCACGAGGCACGCAATCCTTGCCAAGACAACAGCCCACTGCAGAAGAGCTGGATGGGTTCTCTCACATACCCACCGCATGCATTGAGGCATCCGGCGCCTACTTGGAACAGATCCCCAAGGTGAGCTGGCTCGATTGCGAGATGGGTTTTAGCTCTGAGCCTGGCTCCCCACTGTGTCCAGACAGTGGTCTGCCAACCCATGCGCGCACCCCCAGCGGGCAGCAATCCACCCCCATGCAATATTGCTTTGCCAACTGATGGCATCTTAACACCAGCAAACGGTGCCTCTCCCTCTCAACGGCAGGTGTGTCGCCTGGCCATTGAGAGCCAGACCCTGTCGGCCCTGCTCGCCCTTTTTGCGAGGCTGGAGCAGGAGGCACCCGGGACGGTCGGCTGGCGAGCGGTGGCTGGCGTGCTGACCCAAGCCCTCCATGAAGTGGAGAAGCAGACGGCAGAAGCCGCAGACGAGCTTCGCGCTGCGAGTCTCGACAAAATGACACTTGCTGTCCCTGCCAAAGGCATTCCACGGGAGCAGAGCCTGCCATATGTTTTGTCCACGGGTGCGATGGCGGAGGGATCGCCAGCCCCTCCATCCCAATCTGTGCCGCCAGCGGTGGCGGATGAGGCTGATGACATGGACCTAGAGTCGTCCTCCACTGAAGGGGGAGAGGATGGGGAGGTGCCGCCCCTGCCACCAGGTGTGAGAGAGGTTGAGGAGGGGATGCACTTGGGCAATAAGGGACTCAATCTTCATGTCAAAGCCGGGCAGGGTACACACAAGACAGGACAACAGTACTTTTAGAGAGCCAGGATATGAACTGGACTCTGCAAAAGCGGCCTCCTCGCTATGCGCACGCAGGGTATGAATTGCGATATCAGTTAGGGCATTGAGCTGCCAATCCAGACAGAGAACACCGGGATCACCATTCCTATCACCTTCTTCCCGCCCTGCAGCCCCCCAGATAGACTACGAGCTGTTTGGGCTGCCAAAACCCCCAGAACCAGCGGCCCCAGAATCAAAGACAGGGAGTGCCCCCCATCCCAGATCTGAGGGCAAAGAGAGGAAGCGGAGGAAGGGGAATGCGGTGCCCGTCGCCGCGACCTCCAAGCTCAGGCACTCGGCCCAGCTGGCCAAATGGCAGGCTGTGCAGCAGTCTGCCATGCAGGCGGAGGAGGCGGCGGCGGGGGCGAGGGACAGCGAGGCGCAGCGTGCACAGCAGGCCGAGGAGTGGCGGCTGAGCCAGCTGCGCAGCGGAGCCTCCGACGGCAACGCCAACTTTGCGGTGAGTGGAAAGCGGCGCCCTGTCTGCTGCTGTGTATTTGGTGTGGGAGTTGGGGCCCTGCGGACGGGCGTGGCACTCTGTCATTGTGGTGGGACTGCCCGCGTGGGGGTTTGGAGGGGGTCCCAATGCCTCTCCCAGCATCGCCATCTGCTCCCGGCCCCAATCTGGGATTCTGTCTGGGAACGGACCCTCCACACCCCTGCACAGCCGGTGGTGGGCGACTGGCGGAGCAGACTCGCGGCAAGAAGAAAGAAGGAGGAAAGAGCTGAGAAGAGGGCGCGCAGAGCTGCGTCGAGGGAGGATCACGTGGAAGAGGGTGCTCCGCCAAGCCTCCCCCCGGGCTGGCAAGCGATAGCGGACCCCAGCACTGGAGCCACCTACTATGCCAACTTGGAGACACGGGTGAGGGTTGAGGTTGGGGGTTGGCAATCTGAGGATCCTCTTCCCCATGCTGAAGCTGTACACCCTGCAGGAGAGGGGGTAGTGACCCCAGACAAGTGTAGGGTGGCTCGGGGTGCTGTGTGGCGTCTGGGCATGGGAGGTGACCTATGGAAGTGCCCATGTCGACTAGAGTGCCGTATTTGACTACCAGCGCCGGAGTCACCCGGACTGGGGAATCATTAAGAAGTGTGCTGGGCTGCGACTGGCTTCTCTGGCAACTCACTGTGCTCCTCCATGTGCTTTGCATCCGGAATCACCTTGAGCCGGCCAGACCTCTGGCTGCATCCCGCTGCCATCACATATTTTGCAGCAGCAGGGACCTCTGGGTGGCCTCGCATGGGCATGCGAGAACAAGCATGGACATGGGCTCAGTTGCTCCTATCCTTTCACGATCCCCCCTATTCTGCAGGAAACGCAGTGGACAGCGCCAGAGGGCTGAGAGCTGGTCGAAAACCTCCCTGGTAGACAGTGTTATGGCTGGTGAAGTCATTGTAAGATTCCAGCTCCATCGAGCAAGCTCATGTGCAACCAGTGCAAGCCCAAGACCAGACCGTCAAGGTGGTGGGCGGCTGCCCGCACGGCATCCCAGGGTTACTGGTGTTCGCTTGAATGGAAGGAACAGGCCGTGCCTCCTGGCAAGACAGTGCCCCTCTGCCAGCCGTCAGCTCAGCAGCAGAGCTGCCTCCCCCGGTCGCAGCGTCTCGCGGGGCAGATGTGGTACCAGGTGCCGGGCGCCGGTGAGAAGGCGCAGGCGCTCCGCCGCCACGGCCGCCGCCTCGCGCTTGGCCCTGCAGGCGGCCTCCTCTGCGGCAGCCAGGTCCTCTGCCTGCACGGGATTAGGGTGACGAGGGAGTTAGATCTTGACGCCTATGCTGTGGCAAGCCCTCATGTCTGGGGCATAGGAGCCGGCGGGTGCCTGATCTGGGCAGCGACATGTCTCGCGATCCTCCCAGGCAATCCCCACCTGCGTCGCTCGGCCCCCGCCGCGCCGGGTCGCCAGGACGGAGCCGACCTGCCGCGTGCGCTCCACCTCCCTCTGGCGCCGCTCCGCCTGTGCCGCCTTTTCCACCTTCTCCTCCTCTGCGAGTGGTTTAGGAAGTGGGCCTGGGGCATGAAGCGTGTAGAGCAGGGGCGCTCCCACTTGCTGCAACAGCAATTTGCAACCCACCGCGTGCTGCCTCGGTCTGGGCACTGCACGACCTGGTGCATCGCAGCTGGCTCAGCATTCGGACCCCGCTGGTCAAGCGCCCCACCCCAGGCCTCACCGGCCAGGCGCTCGACGAGGCGGTCCGCGTACTCGCGCTCCTCCCGCTCGCGGGCCGCGCTGGCAGCGCGGGCCTCCTCGCTGATTGCCTGGTTGGCCGCGCTCGCCGCCGCGGCGGCCGCCGCCCTCGCCTGTCTCTCCCGCTCCTCGCGCTGCGCCGCCCGGGCCGCTACGCGCTCCGCGTGCAGCGCGGCCAGCGCGGCCTCGTGCTCCTCTTTTGCGCGCTGGGCACGCTGTGCTGCCGCCGACAGCTCGGCCACGGCGCTGGGGAAGGGGTGGGCCACGAGGTGCGTCGGGCAAGGGTGGTGACCCCACATGTCAGCAGGCCAATAGACAGCCGTGATACCATGAAGCAGCCCTGCGCTTCCCACGCCCACGCATATAGTACACTGAAGAACCCGGGCACGAGACCCATGGCGCACCTATCGTGCTGGCGGGCACGACCCGCCCTTGCTGCCGCCTCCTGCTCGTGAGCATCGCGGCGCAGCTGGATGTATGCCAATGCCTTTCTTTCCTCCTCCGCCTCCAGCTGGCAGCGTCTGGGAGGCAAAGCATGGGTGGTTGGAGGGGTGTGTCGCCTGCCTGGGGATTATGGGACTTGCATACACAGCCCATGTGACGCTGTCGATGCACAGTGGGGCAGCTGCGCAAGCCTTCCCTCGCCACCAAGCACGGCCAAGATTGCATCCACCACGCACCGCTGCGACTCGGCGGCGGCCTGGGACACGCTTTCGGCCGCTGCTTGCTGGCTGGCAGCCCGACGCGCCTGCTGAGCATCCCGGGCGGCTGCCTTGGCCTCCTCTGCCTCGCGCAGGACCCTGGCAAGCAGCGCGGCATCCTGCGCCTTCTCCTCCTGGGAAGGAACGGAAATCGAATGGGTGAGAGGGCCTCAGAGACTGCCATTTCACCATCATTTCCAATATCCAATAACACGCGTAAAGCCAAGCACTGGATGCCAGCCATGCAGCATGTACAGTGCTGGGCAGCTGCTATAGTAAATGAACTCGGACGGGTCAAGACCTCTGCCCCACACACTAGTCTGCAGTAAATGCCCTTACACAAAGATCTTGGGGTCAACCGCTCACGGCTTAGAAAATCCCAACCCACCTCGGCAATGCGTCGCAAATTCTGCTGGTGAAGCTCCAAGGACCTTCGTGCCTGCTCCGCCTCTAAAGCTTTTGTTGCCTCTTTGGCTGCCGCAGCCTCGCGAGCAAGACGCGCGGCTTGCAGTTGAGCGGCTGCTGCTTCAGCTGCAGCCGCCGCTTTAGCTTCCTGCTCCTGCTTGCTCAGGGTGCTCTTCTCCTGGAGCTGCTGAGCCCGTACCCAGTTCACCTGGGCGCAAGGATGGAGAATCATATTACAACTCTCCTGTGCAGGCATACAATGTTTGTGAGCGACGCCCATGCATATGGTTTTGGGGGAATTGAGCTCTTGGCGTCGCAGGGGCGCACGCCAATAGGGGTCGCCCTGCCTGCTTTACAGAGCTTCAACCATGAATCAGGCCCAAAAACCCTACTCAAACCCATCCCACGCACCTCTGCTGCCATGAGCTTGGAGCGAAGGTCCCTCAACTCGATGCTCTGAGCCAACAGCATGGCCCTCTGGGATGCAGCCAGATGTAACTTTCGCTTCTCATCCTTGTCTTCAGAGTCAGACTGGCTGACGGGCTGAGGAGCTTCCAAGTCTAAGAGATCTTTCTCACCCGAGGCATGGGCAGCCATTCGCTCCACCAGCTTGTTCTCCAGCCGGGCGTTCTCAGTCATGAGCTTATTGGCCTCTACATACCGACTGAGCTCCCGCCTGTATCTCTCCTGTTTGAGGACCATCCTGGCTCTTGGCTGTTGAACCTGCAGGTCGAGGCGATCTCGACCTAAAACGATATTCGAACTGGGGTCTGCAAAGCAAGTGCTGCCCTTGAAGAGTTTCGTGGACACAGACTACGCTGACGCAGTGCCGGACATGCGAGGAGTGTTGACTACTCGAGCGTCGGCCGCTTGCAATGGACGGTAAGTATACCTATTGTGAGATTTGTCTCATGTTGTATCACCAGACCGGGTGTGTGTTTGGGGTACTGGGTACTTCTTGGTCTGTGGTTGAATATATGAACATCGCGCCCAATCGGTTCTCGAGGGGACACGCATGAATTATAACACAGCGGATCTGCGGAAGGCTCAGAGTCCTTGCAACGCGTTAATCCAAGCGTGTATAGGATGAATCAATTCACATATTCCGTGCTCGCTGATGTTGACCTGCTGATATCCGGTCTCTGAGGATGGTTACGGGGGGGGAGTATGGCGCAGGGTACGCGAGCCGGTAAGTCAGTAGCAGTGAATGGAATAACATCCTTCCCTAGTAGTACATTGAAGTGTTATTATCCGTCGATACCCCTCCCTCCAACAGGCCGGGCTTGACAGCTCGACAACCATTGTTTGGCGCCCCATCAGACCAAGTCCAGGTTTCGGTTGAGCCCTCGCTGGATTGGGACGATGAGATTGAGCAGCTTAGAGCAGGGGTGGGACGTTTGAAACAGGTGAGGACCTGCTTGTGTCGTTTGGGAGCCGCTTTGTGTTGGTTTGAGCAGACACCAATCTCTGTGCATAGTGTCTCGACTTCCCATATGGGCGCACAACATGCTCCCAGGTGTCATCTGCGATTCAAGAGGAAAACACGCTCACAAAACAAGTCATGGATGGACTAGTGAGCTGGTGCTATGGAGAGGGAATGAGGAGACCAGGGTCATGTGCAGATATATGCCAGTCAGCTGCTGTATTCATAGTAAAGCAGTGAAAAAGTAAGCCCTCTCCGCCTAGTTATTGGGCACCAAGATATCAAACAGCTCATATGTCCTCCTCATCTTGCAGGAAAGTGCCATGGAGACATCACGGCAATCCCTGAAACAGGCATCCAAAAGGCTAAGAAGAGCTATGGTCCAGAGTCAATCCAACCATGTCCTGTATGTTTTTCTTTTCGCAATCGCAGTATTCTTTGCCCTCTACTTCTGGAACAAGCTTTACAAGCTGTTGAGGTGGATTTTGTAAGCTATCAGTCACCGACTAAAGAGAAGGAGTTTCAAAGTGATCGTGGCATGCCATGGGCCTGACTGTGAGAGAGACCCCTGGCTCTATAGTGCCACCTGGAAACGTCAAGAGGCTCCTCCTGCAATAAGAATCGGTAAATATCACTGAACTATTCTGTGGCAAGCTCCAAGAGGCTTGTAAACTGGCAAATGGGGTGACTGGAAAGACCAATGCAGCAAGCTCTCTCAAGAGTTTCTGCCCTGCCCCCCGAGCCCCCTGATCTGCCACGTAGGGAGCGCCAAAGCGATCGTTTCGACGGAGGGACCTAAGCATGCGCCGTTCAGCACAGTCGATGGCTTTCAGTCAGGACCTAATTATCTTGCGCGACCCTCCTCGAGTCAAGTCTGGCCTTTGGTAAAGGCGAGGCGCATGGAACATCACCACCCATCCCCTCTGTGAGCGACAGCACAGACTTCTCCGCCACCGCTCCATCGTAACGTGAACAGAAGCTGGCTAAGGGCCTTGGAGAAGAGGAGACTCGGCCAGGATGAGGAGTGAGTGACGTGGTGGGTTGCCGTCCGACATCATCCCCCGAAAGCACTCGTGTTCCCCGCCTGCACCACACCCCCTCAACCCCGGCCGCCCCTCCTCCCAGTCCTCATCAAGGGAGGTGTGTGGAAGAACACAGAGGATGAGATCCTCAAGGCCGCGGTCATGAAGTATGGCCTAAACCAGTGGGCCCGCATCTCGTCACTGCTCACCCGGAAGTCGGCCAAGCAGTGCAAGGCCAGGTGGTACGAGTGGCTGGACCCCGCCATCAAGAAGACGGAATGGACGCGGGAGGAGGACGAGAAGCTGCTGCACCTGGCCAAGCTCATGCCTACGCAGTGGCGCACCATAGCCCCCATCGTGGGCAGGACGCCGGTGCAGTGCCTGGAGCGATACGAGAAGCTCCTGTACGTTGCTCGATTTTGCTATGAGCTGCTTTCCTTTTAGGGGGAGGGGGTTTGAGCCGACAGGGTCTCTGTTGGAATTGGTCTGGCTGATGCAATGGGGCTCAGGAAGAGCCCTGCAGCTTCATGAACTGATTGACGGGTGAAAGCTGGCCGCTGATACATGGTGTCAGCAGCAACTTGATCTTGAAAACCTTCACTTTTGGCTTGATTTACTCACCGTACCTTTACCCACCCTGCCTTGCCAGGGACATGGCGGCTGGGAAGGAGACGTACGACCCCACGGACGACCCCCGGCGCCTCCGCCCCGGCGAGATCGATCCTAACCCGGAGTCAAAGCCTGCCCGCCCCGACCCCATCGACATGGACGAGGACGAGAAGGAGATGCTGTCGGAGGCGCGGGCCAGGTGCGTGCTCCGCCTCTGGCCCCACGTCGCGTGTTGGGAGTGAGGGCGGCGTAGATAGCAGCGTTTGACGGGAGAGCCAATGAAGCCCCCACTCTGGTGTTAGCCCTTGTTCCGCAGCTTGCCGACGGGGTTCCGACACACTGCGTCGTTCTCAATGCTGCTGGAATGATGTATTTTTTTTGGGGGGGGGGTCGGCCATTTATGGTCCACAGCACCCGTCACATTCTCTCCCACCATGGACATACAGATTAGCAAATACCAAGGGGAAGAAGGCAAAGCGCAAAGCGCGCGAGAAGCAGCTGGAGGAGGCGCGGCGCCTGGCAACGCTGCAGAAGAAGCGCGAACTCAAGGTGGGGGGCGTTGTCTCCTGTGGGCCGAAGAGGCGGTGGAGGCGCTCTATGCCTGGTCTTTGCTGCTGGGTTTTACAACAGGAAGAGACTCGCTCAGGCTGCAAATCCCCTCCCTCAATACCACATCTCCAGGCTGCCGGCATTGAGGTGCGGGAGCGGACGCGGCGCGGGGGCGCCATCGACTACTCCAAGGAGGTGCCCTTTGAGCGGCGAGCCGCCGCCGGCTTCTTCGACACGCGCGGTGAGGACCTGCAAAGAGGAGAACCTGGGAGACCTGGGCAGGGAGATGACGCCGGAGAGGTCGCACTGCAGCCTGGCTGTCGGGGCTTGGCTTTGAATGCAGGGGGCGGCTCAATCGCAGGCACTGTACAGCAAAGGCGTGCACCAGCCGGCTCGTCCGCGGTTCCCACCGTGGCCCACCTGTTCCGCATGAACACCTACGGTGTGCGCACCCCTCTGCCGTGCGAATGTGTTTCCTTCAGTAAGCCAAACCCTCCCCCTGGAACACCCACCCGTTCCCCCGCAAAAACCTCCCCTTTCTGCGCAGAGGAGGCGACGCGGACCTCGGAAATGCAGGAGGACTTCCGGCCCATCACAGTGGACGAGCTGGAGGGGCGCAAGCGCAAGGACATCGAGAAGGAGCTGATCAAGGCCGACCTGGCCAAGGCGCGTGTGGCCGAGCGCGCCAACGCCCCGGCGGCCCTGGCGCGCGCGCTGGCGGCCAACGAGGCCTCCGCGGGCCCCGTACGGCGCGGGAAGCTCATGCTCCCCGCGCCGGCCGTGACTGACGAGGAGCTGGAGGCGCTGGCGCGCGGCGGGTACGCCGCGGCCGACCGCGACGCTGACGTGGCGGCGGGCGGCAGCGCCGCCACGCGTGGCCTGCTGGGCGACTACGCGACGCCCGGGCGTGTCGGCGGCGCGCCCACGCCTGCACGCGGCGGTGCGGCGCCGCCCGGCCCCTCTCGCGTCATGCAGGAGGCAGCCAACCTGGCGGCGCTCACCGCCGGCGCCACGCCGCTGCTGGGCGGGGAGAACCCGGTGCTGCACCCCTCGGACTTCTCGGGGGTCACCCCACGCGCGACGCCGGCCGCCACGCCGGGGACGCACGCGCTCGGGGGGACCCCAGCCGCCACGCTGGGGACGCACGCGCTGGGCGGCGTGGCGATTGCCGCCACGCCGCGCGGCGGGCGGGTCTCGGGCGGCGGTGCCACGCCGGCGCCGGTGCCCACGCCGCTGCGCGACGCGCTCGGGCTGAACGAGGCCGCGGCCAGCGCAAGCTCCAAGCGCGAGGAGGCCGCGCGCTTGGCCCTGCTGCGCAACGACCTGCGCGCGGGGCTGGCCCAGCTTCCGGGCCCTCGCAACGAGTACCAGGTGGTGGTGCCCGAGCTGGCGCCGGCCGAGGGCGCCGTGCCGGACGGCTTCTTCGAGGAGGATGCGGCAGATGCAGCGCAGCGCCGCGCCGCTGCGGCCGAGGCCGAGCGCTGCGCCGCGCTGCGCCGCGCCTCGCAGGCCGTGCAGCGCGGCCTGCCGCGCCCCGCGCCCGACGCGGCGCGCGCGCTGGCGTCCGACCCCCCCGCGACGACGGCGGGCGGCGAGGCCGACGCCCTGCGTCGCGCCTCGGCGCTGCTGGGCGCCGAGCTGGCGGCGCTGCTGGCCTACGAGGCCGAGGCCTTCCCCGCCAAGGCGGAGAAGGGGAAGGGAAAGGGGGCGGCGGCGGCGCACCAGGCCGCGAGTCTGCCCCCGCTGGAGCAGGTGGGGACGCGGGCGGGAGGAGGGGGAGAATCTTGGAGTGGGCCGGGCCCAGTGCGTGTGCGCATGGGGGCTGTGGGAAAGGGCCTCTGAAGGAGCTGGACTCGGCCGCGGCATCGCACGCGCTGCTGGCGGTGGGTGCATGGCAGGCGGGCGCCGTGCCGCGTCGAGCAGTCAGTGACCCGTTTGCATCGGCAGAAGCCCACATCCAGCACGCACCCGCCGCCCTTCCCTGCGGCGCCACCAAACTTGAACACCCGACCCAACCCCCGCGCATGCGCAGTTCGCGTCGGAGGCCCTTGCGAGCGCGGCGCAGCTCCTGGCCGCCGAGACGGCGGCAGTGCGGGCGGGAACGGGGCACGCGGGCAGCACGGCCGAGGAGGCGGCGGCGGCGTCTGCGGCCGCAGCAGCCGACATCATCCTGCTGCCCTCCACGGGCCGCTTCGTGCGCGGGGCCTCGGCCAGCGCCGCGGAGCGGGCGGCCGCGCTGGGCGCGCGCTTCGACCACGCGCGGCACGAGATGGAGCGCGAGGCACGGCGCGCCGCCAAGCTGGAGGCCCGCGCCGGATTGCTGACGGCGGGCCTGGCCGCGCGCGGCGGGCGCCTGGCCGAGGAGGCGGCGGGGGCGGCGCGGGACCTGGCGGCCGCCGCCCTGGACCTGGCCTGCTTCGGCGAGCTGGCCGCGCGCGAGGCGGAGGCCGGGCCTGCGCGCGTCGCTGAGCTGGCGGCGCTGGTGGCCGCGCAGCGCGCGCGCGAGGCCGCGCTGCAGGACAGGTACCGCGCGGCGCGCGACGCGGTGCTGGACGCCCGGCGGCCCCTGCCCCAAGCGGCGGCGTGAGCGCGGCGCGTGTGGTGGGGCGTGTGTGTGTATGCGTTGGAGGGAAGGAAAGTGGTGGTCTTGATCGCACGCCTGCCGCCCACAGACCTGCATGTGCCCCCAGCTCCTACCCTGACCTGGCCCCCATGCGGCAAGCATGCTTGTCAGCAATGCCCATGTAACCATGACAATGGTTGGTGACAATGGCAAAGAGCAAAATTGTCGTTATGTTCAGGGTGTGCACGGCAGCAGGGTCAGCTCAACGAGGCCTGGCCCCCTCCCAATTGCCGTACCATGTGGCGTGCGGCAGTACCCTCCCGACTGCCTCCGACGTCCCAATATATAATGCCGTTCCGGGCGTCATGTGCGCGCAGATGCCCATAGCACCTCGCATCCCTCGCCAGGCCCCACCCAGTCCAGATCCCGACCCCAGCACCCACGATCTAGCCAGCTGGTACGCCATGGCCCCCCATGCAGCGCATGCACAAGGCCCCGCCGGCGACGCCGGGAGCACACGGAAGGGGAACCCCGGCCCCTCCCGGAAGGTGATAGACACCATCAAAGAGGCGACGGGGGCATCCGAGGAGGATGTGGTGGCAGTACTGGCGGAATGCGGGGGGGACGCGAACGAAGCCACGTCGCGACTGATCGAGAGTGAGTGGGCGGGTGGCAACGGAGCGCGAGGCGTGGCGACGTGTGGCATGTGCTCATGACATTTCCGTGCATCCGGTGCAGACCCCTTCTGCCAGGTGGTACACAAGAAGGAGCGGCGGAAAGAGGTGAGGGTGGGGTTCAGGTCGCGCCGTGTTACCCCGGGAGTGATGCAAGCAGCGGCACTCAATCCCGCGGCAATGCGCGATTGTCTGAGGAGCCGGGATGGTGCGGTTGGAGCATTGCATGGCGAGCCTCACTGCACTGCCGAGCCGCCCCTGGCCCCATGCCCCTGCCAACAATGCAGAGGCCGCCGGTGGCCGAGAGGCGGGGCGAGAGGCGGGATGACTTCCGGGACGAGCGGTTCCGGGACGAGCGACGCGGTGAGGGCCGGCGCGGAGGTCCTGGCGGCCAGGCCGGACGTGGCGGCGGCCGCTTCGCTGGCGGCAGAGGTGCGTGGGGGCTTGTGATGGGGATGAAGCTCCTGGGGCGGGGAAGACGGGGGTTTATGGGTGTTGCGGATGCGCAAAATTGCCTGCCGCTGCAGCTTTGTATCGAGGTATGTGCTGCGACATTTGGAACTGATGTTGGCAGGCTATGTACGGCCGCTGTGACGGCCTGCGGCCTTGGAGAGAGCGCCAGGCAGGGAGTTTGCACTCCTGAACGGTGCAAGCGTCGCCTCGGGTGCCTCTGGTGACCAGCCATGAACTGACTGGCAACTCCGTGCCAAGGACGACCCCACACCCCTGCCCGACACTCCACCCCTCCCACCAGGCGCCGGGCGCGACGCGCGTCGCGAGGGCGGGGAGCGGGCCGCGGCGGCCGCCGCAGCCGCCGCGCCCCTCGTAGAGGAGGACACCGGCTTCGGCTCCTTCGTCCAGACCCCCGCCGCCCCCGCCGCGCTCCCCGAGCCCAGCGCCAGCGCGCCGCCCGCGGTGGGCGAGGGCGAGGGCGGCTTCGGCTCACTTGCCCCCGACGCGATCGAGGCCGCGCGCGCCGCCTACACCCGCCCCTCCACGGCGACGCCCTCCGGCAATGGCCACGCGGCTGCCGCCGCCGCGGCGCCTGCCGCGTCCACCTCCTCGACCTGGACGCCCTCCACCGGCCCCGCCCGCCCTGTCACCGTGGGCTATGCAGACCTCTTCCGCAAGGCGGCGGGCCCCGGCCGGCCGGCCGCGGCGGCGGCGCCCGCCGCGCCCCGCCGCGCGGCGCAGGAGCCCGCCACGAGCTCCGCCCCGGCCGAAGGCGCCACGCGGGAGGCTCCCGCTGCGCGAGAGGCAGCCGCGGCGCCGGCATTCGCGGCCGCCGCCGAGGCCGCTGCGCCCGCCGCTGCGCCCGCGCCCGCGCCCGCGTGGGGCGGCGCTGGCGCCGCGCCGCACTCCCCCGCCGTTGCGGCGCCGGCGCCGCAGGCCCCCGTTGGGTCGCCTCTGCAGGCGCCGGTGGGCTGCTGGC